AAAGGAGGAATGACAGCAATCATCAATTTGTTTGTTTAGGTAATGTCCTTTGTGACATTTACAAATAGATCCTATCACTTTATCCGTCTGAGAGGAGAGAGCGGGGTGGGGAGAAATAATCCAAAGAACTACTTCAGTTACAGGATATGACACTATTATAAGATCTAAGCTAGGCAGATAACATTTCAAGCATAAGCCTTTATTTGATGCTATAGGAGTTGCATGGAAAGTCAAAAGCAAGTCTGGCTAAATTAATAGCTTTTTTCTGTCTGAATGTTCAAAATCACACACTTTCCTTCATTAAGATGTGCCCTAAATAACTGCTGATTCTGTCTATCTACTTTTCTGTTTGTTAATCTATTCCCATTCATCCCAAGGTATAACAAGAAACAAAATTACATGTACTGAATTGACTTCGTAACTTGCTTTACAAAAATGTTTTATCTGCCTGCTTTTTCAGTAGCAGGAGATGTTAAAGTTTCAGATTTATAAAGATAACTTTTATTCATAAATGAAATATTAAAAAGACATAATCAGAATTTTGACAATGAAAACCAATATTTCTCCACTGATAATATATGGCTTCAGATAATGGTATAAAATATTTTGAAAATGGATTTTTGAGTTAAAACTAAATGGATGATACACTGTTTGTCAGCAACTGGGAGTTAAGTAATTTGAAAGAGATATGTATGAAAAATGTGATTGTGATTATATTCGTATAGTGCTACCAGGAACACTTATGAAATATGGCCTATTAGTAATAGGAAATCTAAAGAGCCAATTACCTAGCTTCAAATTAAAGATACAATTGATTATCATAATGGTTCAAATGTGGTGTGGAATTTAATGAAGTTATTTTTAATTCTATAAATACACAGCCTCCAATAAAGATATAAATATATTTTGAAAATGGATTTTTGTGTTCCACCAAAATGGATGGTACCCTGTTAGTCAGCAACACTGAATTAACTAATTTGAAATATATGTTTGAAAAAGATACATTGGAAAGCATGGATGTAAAACCTTATTTTAAGGTTGCAAGAGCCGAGGTGGCGCAGTGGTTAGGGTGCAGTACTGCAGGCCACTTCAGCTGACTGTTATCTGCAGTTCAGCGGTTCTAATCTCACGGGCTCAAGGTTGACTCAGCCTTCCATCCTTCCGAGGTGGGTGAAATGAGGACCCAGACTGTGGGGAGCGATATGCTGACTCTGTAAACCGCTTAGAGAGGGCTGAAAGCCCTATGAAGCGGTATATAAGTCTAACTGCTATTGCTATTGCTATTGCTATTATTTTAGATGCATTGCAAATGACAATATTAAAATTATTTGCACTGAAAAATAAGATTTCCTGGAATTTACCGAGTTCTGTGCATCAAGGGAACTCATATAGATCTATAAATGAAGAAAAATTATGAACACAGGTGCAGATAAGTTTTGATTACATGTGGATTAGATTACTGTCATAAGCATTTATGAAGATGTGTAACTTATTCCTTAGTAGTTTATATTTGATTACCGGTAACTGTTTTTTTTATATTTGATTACCGGTAACTGTTTTTTTTCTGCTCTCATTTCAGTTTTCTGTCATTATAGTTTTCTGTCATTATAAATTTGTTGCTTGCTGAGATGTTCTGTACCTGAGTTCACTTGAAGATAGCATGCCTTACACTATTCCATGTGCAGACTTTTTATTGTGATGTGACACTAATGGAAATGAATTAGAAGCAAAGGAGCAGAATATATGCAGGAAACAATACTCACATTGTCTAAAGCACATGAGACTTGTTGATCACCATCTAAATTACAGCATTTCTCAGCAACGTGTTCCAATTTTTTGGCGAGCTCAATCAGATTAGAATTTGGAACCTGTGGTATAATTTTACTATACTTGATCAAATATCTGAAAGAAAAGGCCAATTAGAAAAGTTGTATGCTGTAATTTAGATGGTGATCACCAAGTCTCATGTGCTTTAGAAAATGTGAGTACTGTTTCTTCCATATATTCTGCTCCTTTGCTTCTAATTCATTTCCATTAGTGTCACATCACAATAAAAAGTCTGCACATGGAATAGTGTAAGGCATGCTATCTTCAAGTGAACTCAATCAGA